CCCGTGCCCCTTGCAAAACATTCTAGCTCCGCCCCTGACCATATCGTGCCTGAGAAGCTAAAATGAAGCCTGCTCGCTAAAGTGTAGCTGTTTTCTCATCTCTGGGTTTGATTTTGATTCATTTGTTTTTATTTATTTTTTGTCTTCTCTGTCATGTTGGTGTGAGCTCAGATTTAGGGTTCCTGCTCCCAGGTGAGTAACAGCTGTATAGTCTTGTGACCGTGTTTGAGCGGTAACAGGAAATGCACACATCAGACCTGTTTCTGCTTTATAAAATCTGTGCACATAACCTTTAAAAGCCTGTTGAGAACACRACAAACATTCCCCACTGTTAGCCCTTTTTTTTCCACCCTGCCTTGTAAACAGTTATAAAAAAGGAGAAATCTTGTGTGCATCTCTGTTAGACTAACCCAGACTCTGCCTCAGTGTGCATGATGTGTCCTAATTTATCAGGCTGGTGATCACTCACTAAACCTTCGGCTGATCCCACTGCAGAGCTACACGGGAGTTTGTGTTTAAACCTTTTCGTCTCCACTCATCCCACGTGTCCCTCCCTCTAAAACTAGTCTTTGTGAGYCCTGACGTGGTTTTAAAGCTGCTGAAGCTGAACATCTCATGTGCTGGGGTGCCTTTAAAAAAAMCCGAAATGTTCTATAAATGTACATAAATCAGACGATGTTTACTGATGTGTTTATCTCTGTGCAGAAAACGGAGAGGACAGCAGCAGCGATGAGTCCACCCAGAGTCCGGCCACTGACGGCAGGTAAACAAATCCACTGTGTCAAAGCAGAGAAAGACGTCGAATTTAGATGTTTCTTTTAACAAAAAACGTTGTTTTTTTTCAGTCAAACCAGAGATAAAAAGTAATAATTGGAAAAGAGGGAACATCGAAAATATGATTTTATTGTGCAAATTTACAGTTTGTTATGGAGAGCTCTTTCATTCAAAATTAATTAAATAAGTTTATTTATTTCAGTTTATTTATCCTTTATACAGGAAAATCACTTGAGACTCATTGTCTCATTTACAGGAGAGACCTGTTACATTC